TAAACTAAATCTATAGTAATTTTATGCATTGCCCTGTTCCAGGCGGAGATATATATACATATGAAAATGTTTCAATGCACCCTCGCTATATATCTTAACTTGCCCATGTGTGTATTATGGGTATACAACGTAAAACTTGTATGGAAGGTTCTAGAACTTGGTCGTAAAAAATCTAAAAATTTCTATTACTTATTATTTGCCAAAAACATTAGCTAAGCAGGTTGTCAAGTGTCGTGTAAACCTATTTAAAGGGAGTGTTCGCGAGTGTCTTTGCCACGAGTAACCATTCAAAACAACGAGAGCAAACTATTTTGGCGTTTTAAGTGCATTAATTGTATACAAAACGAATAAAAATTACATACGAGTGCGTCAAAAAATTCGATGACTATAGGTTGTAATATCTGAATGGCTTGTTTGAAATTAAATTGAGATTTTACGATCCAAATCTTTTTTTGAAACTTTCTGAATTTGTGCGTACGATACGTTCTTCAGTATAAGTCGTTTTTAACAATTTTCTCCTTATAGACGCAACAGATAGAGGTAGGGATCAAAAGCGATTATTTTTCGCCGTAAGCCTATACTCGCTTTCAATTTTCGCAAACACTCGACCTTTATAAGAAAATATGACCAGAAGATATTGCCTATTTTGTAGCTGAATGAACGGCCAGTTTTGACCTGTGGATCCCCATTTTTGATCTTGAGTTCTATTTTCTGCTGAAATTGCCATATTTTTTCTAGTCGGACATTTAATAAAATGTTCCGCCATTTTGTTTACAAGTCAACCATTTTAAATCTGGACTACTATTATTTAGGACTGCAATGTTTGCATATGTCGACTGCCGTTTTTATCCGGGTGGCAATGTGTACAGTATATTTTGAATTACTCCATATACTGCATCGATCCTGCATATTATATTTATCTATGTTCATGAAAAGTAAAAGTCAAGTTTTGAAGGTTCCCCCCTATAGAGTTTAGGACCATAATAGGAATGAACACAAATTAGGGATTGAAGGAATCAGGTCGTTTAGGAATAGTTCAACTTTTCCTAATCCTACAATAAATGGTTCCTAGAAGATAAATGGAGTTGAAGATGAATTACTGGATCTCAGCCAGGTTTTGGGGCTGATGCCTTCTAGCAAAAAATAACATGCTTAAATAGTTTAATAATTTAATGATAGAGCATTATTTACGGGTGGGTTAGTTAGTAAATTTAGCGCGGTTCATTAGTTAGTAAATTTAGCCCTGGTTATTAGTTAGTAAATTCAGCTCGGTTCATTTGGTAGTAAATTCAGTACAGTAATTCCTTGTTAGTAAATTCAACCCGGTTCATTCGTTAGTAAATTCAGCCTGTTCATTTATTAGTAAATTCAATCAAATTATTTTGAAAGCAAATTCAGCCTGCAGTTCATTAGTTAGTAAATTCAGTCCATGTTCATTAGTTAGTAAATTCAGCACAGTTCATTAGTTTGTAAATTCAGCCCTGTTCATTAGATAGTAAATTCAGCCAGGTTCATTCGTTAGTAAATTCAGCCAAGTTCATGAGTTTGTAAATTTAGCCTGGTTCATTAGTTAGTAAAATTCAGTGTGGTTCATTAGTTAGTAAATTCAGCCCAGTTTATTAGTTAGTATAATTCACCCTTGTTTATTAACCACTAAATTAAGTCTTGTTCATATAACTAGTAAATTCAGCCTTATTTCCTTATTTCATTAGACATTCATTCTGTTTAGCACTACCACATTAACATATTGGTTCTCTAATTTACGATTTTTAAGTGAAATTTTTTTTTCCAAATACAAATGTCTGTCTATTTATGTCTCTATCTCTCTATCTATCTATCTAGCTATATATCTATCTATCTATCTATCTATCTTTCTGTCTATCTATTCATTTATCTATTTATCTATTCATCATATGGACACGTAGACTCCCAAACATATCTATTCTCACTAAAGATGGACATAAAGATAGATGTATGTATAGGCTTGTATGGAGGTAGCGCTGTATATGCAATACATGTTCCAAGATCACTGATAGCTATACCTAGCTCAGCACAGGCTTCTTCAATATAATATCAATATTTATTTATTTTTTAATTCATGTTCCAGGTTAAAAAAAAGGTTTATGGAAGAACATAATTATTAAATGTTTTTAAAACGTTTATAAGTCTGGAGTTAATCTTTTTGTCATATTTGGCATTAGAAGAGAGGCATGATTCACAAAGATACTCTTTAAGTACGGCAAGAAATCAAAAAAAATTAAATTTCAAATAAAGAATCATGAATGAGCTCTTCGAGGTCAAACATTTTATTCACTGTTGTGAATGGAACACGTCACTCTATAAATGGAGAGTCACATAGAATTACGTTTACAGTCCCTTTAAGTCTTCATGTTTATTGGGACATCTTGTTTGTCCAAGCTGTATCGTTTAGAAAGGGAAATATTGTATTGACAAGTTTTGATAGATTTGTAGATTTTAGATTGATAGATTTATTCTTGGAATGTAAGATAGATATATCTTTGAAATATCGGNTTTTTCGAATTGACTCGGAGTAGGCCTCGTCTCCTTATCAAGTAAAATTTATGGTTCCCAGTGTATAAACTGGTTAAACCCAAATAAGAAAACAAATTAATGAATCAATTTTGTTTTGGTTATTTTCTAAGAAATCTTAAAACACTTTTTTGAGATAAGATTTTGAGGTGCCTTTAAAAAGCAAAAGTTCTTAAACGTTTTTTTAAACGAACCCCCCAAAAAAGGTCATGTCTCAACCCAGACCGCCCACACAGCACGCGGCCCAATATTTTGTATTTAGGCATTATTTCATAACTCGGGGTTTCTAAACACTTCAAAAACAATGAAGAGAGAAAACTGCTTAATCATTCTAGACTCATTTAGAAAACATTTAAGATTCGTTGCTCAAAACTTGGTGCCATGACAAACTCCAAAAATAAAATCTTTGGGGGAAAAAAACAAATTCCAGTTAAACACTCCGTAAAAACAAACTCCGAAAAAAAACATCCGGAAAACAAACTTTGAAATATAAACTCCGGGAATAAAATCTTCGGGGGAAAAAATCCAACTCCGGAAAAACTCCTGAACTACAAACTCTAATAATTCTAGCCGCAGCGCTTGGCCCCTTCATAACCAAACATAATTATAAAGATCTAAATACTTCATTTCATTTTCCAGAGTTTGCTCATTTCGGAGTTTGTTCTGTTTTAGGTTTTTTTTTATTTCCAGAATTTGTATTTCCGAAGTTTGGTGCCATAATGTATTTATTGTCACGCTTTCTACAATTATACCTAAAGAGGTCATTTAGTTCCAGTGTAGATACAATAAGTCATTTGAATAGGTTGAAAATAAAAGAAATTTTCATAAGACATTCAAAATGTTTAAATTTACCCAAACAAAATAAAATCTTTGGTAAATTTCTCATTTCCTTCAAAAATGTCAAATATTTGCGGTGAATTATTTACCTTTTAAACATTCCGGTCCTGCTGATTCAGATTCCGGTCCTGCTGATTCAGATGCCGAGGACCAACATTTTTCCAGATTTATCTTGGCAATTTTTTTTTTTTACGTTTCCGTCAAATTTTTGGTACGTTTTCGTTACATCTTCAATTCAATTTTATTATATTTTGTCACATGTTCGTTACATTTTTGTTACCATATTTGTTATATTTTCAATATATTTTCGTTACCAGTTTAGTTAAAGTTTCGTTGAAGCTTTGTTACCATATTTGATACATTTTGGTTGCAGTTTCGTCATCCTTTTGTTACATTTTCTAAAACCTGTTCGTTATTTTTTGTGTTAGATTTTAGAAATTATACATATTATAAAAACATCATAGGGGTACTGTTTCTTTACCATTATCGAAAAAGAATATTGTTTCTTTACGCAAATTCGTCACATTTTTGTTACAATTCTTTGCAACATTTTATTTACCATGTTGATACTATTTTTTGTAAAATTTTGTTCACCTTTTAATAAACTTTTACTGTAAAGAAACTTTATACTTTTTATAAATGACTGGGTTCAAATCGATGTTATATGTCAGATTTCTGTTCAGCACAAGGTTAAAGAGTCCACGTGCTAAAAAATACCCAATTGAGCCCTTTTTACTACCCTGAATGCATAATTTGAAGACATTTAGGTTGACATATTGAACCCAAGGACTCTAAAATCTCCTGCACTCATGAGATGCTTATCCAGAATGTTTTGCAAGAGTTTTTCCAAACCAAATTCCTGTTGAACAAATTGAAACATAAAGTGGTTTCAAGGGCCGGGAGACGGCTAGCCTATAGTGTTTTGTTTTTTGTTAAGTTTTCTAAAATTTGTGAAAATTACTTTTTTATCTGAGCAAAAATAACGATATTTCATTATTGATCAAATAAGAATGTGAAGGGTACTGTTGTGAACATAGAGAACAGAATATATATTAGAGAGGAATTTAGAGAATCTCTCGGTATGAATTTTTTCAGTCCCTTTCAGCCTGAAAGGGAGTTCAAAGTGTACAAATCATGTAAATGTTCACAAATTATATGCAGTAGAGTACATTAATACAGTATGTTCCCTAGACAATTCATTTCAATTTCGAATTTTTTAAACTGCTAAATAAACTTTTTTAATGAATTAGGTGAATAAAAAACATCATTTGAGTTATAGTTATAACGGAAAATCATCGTTTGTAAAGAGTGAAAGGCATAGAGTCTATGTGAAATGATCATTGGTCAATTATGAAACCAGCCTATTTCATAATTTGGTTTTCTTTTAACAATAATTTTAGATTTTCTATAAAATGATATTCTAGGACCGAAAGGTTATATAGCATAAATATGTGAAGTACACCTTCAGTATGGAAACAGTACAACAAAATGACCGTTTTACACTTTTTCTAGTAAATTCCCCTCCAATATATATTCTATTCTCTATGGTTGTGAATTAGACTAAACAAAATAAGGCTCAATTTGCATTTAATTTTAATCTAATTTTTTTTCAGCATGGATGATTCAAGGAGTAGGAGAAGTGTAGCAAGTCTAGGAGATCTACAGAAGGAGTCAAGTTTAGAAGATCAACCTCCTGATATAACACCTATAGGAGGAGTTCCAAATCTAAAGGTAGTATCAAAATAAATGAATTAGAAAGTAGTTCAATTACAGGGTTACTCACAATGGATGAGACTGTAAAGATGACCAAGAAATATTACAATATGAAGATCCTAAGGGTAAATTTAATCATTTGCCTGGAATTTGGTAAAGTAAGAAACAAGTTTACTGTTTCAGGGAGTTGTGGCCAACCCAGAATGTATGATGGGTCAATTATTACTGAACACAGATTCTTAATCTTTATAAAATTACACGAGTATTTTATTTTGTTCGTTTATTTCTGAATATATAGATTAGTCAAGAAACAACTTAATTTATGATCCTAGTATGATAAGTTAAACTACAAGTATAATCTACTTTTATGATGTCAATAACAGTTAATAAAACACCTTTTATTAGTTGCATTACATAAATATGCAGACATGTGCAATGTGCAAGTGCAAGTGCTATGTACATATAAATCATACGAAAAAATGAACGTCTATAAAATTATTTCAGCCCCCCCCCTGCTCTCCTCAAGCCCTCGTTATATTTACTGATCTGCGCCTATCCTATATCAGTATAGGGTTGGGCAAGGTTCTGGTTCATAACACATTTTATTTTTATTATTTTATTGAGAGAAACAGGAATGTTTTCAATTTCTTTTTTAAAAAAGATTTTTTTGTCCCCAGGACATGATCGGGTTGTTACGATCAAATCTCGGAATTTTTTCTATCGCGAAAGTTTCATGTTGTATGGGTTTATATTTATCTACCAGGGGTTGTAATCTGGCAGCACATTCATCCATCCACGCTTCATTCATACTGAGAAGAGGGTTGACAAGATTCCAGCTGCCTAAGATTCTTCTTAGGCCTGAGAATAATAGGAATTCTTCTGATATACTGAAATGAGGCCCGCATGACATACAGACAAGAAACATCACACTCATTTCTCCGAATCATTTGTTAGCCCGGATTGGATACCCCCAGGTATCCAATTCGCTACCCCCCCCCCCCAGCCGTGATAGGTTTATTTCAAATTTAGAAACTGACTCGTTCGTTACTGTTATATCTTTATTCGTTATATATAAGAATGGATTGAAAAACGTACTATAATGTCCATCTCTAATCTCATTATCCCCAGCAGAGATTCTAAATGGGATCTCAAATAATAACAATAAAGCGAAATTGAAGGAAAGCGAGAGTTGTATCTAACATTATCTAATTGGGTATATAGATGAACTGGGCGTTTGGGTTGCATGCTTCGCAACCTCTTATCTAATAAAAAAAGTTAGCTTTTAGCTATTGCTCTTTAAGTCAAAATATTTTAACAATTCTCAAAAAAATAATTGGCGCATTTTCAAAATCATGAATATCGACGTTTTTTCTTAGAAATTTCTTTTAAATTTGACCTGGGATCATGATGGCTTAATCGGTTCAGCCGTTTGACGTTTATGTTATACATACAGACCTACAACCAAGCAGGCAAGTCAAATCTAGATAATAAAACAAGACATTCGTAAATATATATGTTGCGTATTGCCGGCCAAAGGGCTGGACCGATTGGGCTGAATTTTTTGTGGACACTCATGGGTGGCCAGGGGTGTTATAAGCTAAGAAAATTCGACATTTTTTCCAAAATTTGTTTTTTCATTTTTTTTCCACGGGCAACAAGGGACCCTTCATCTAGTATTCTATAAAGATATACACGTTGCTAGCTGCAAAAATGCAAAAATCCGCCAAATCATTTGATAGGAAAATGCGCAAAATCGGAGAAATAATCGGTAAGACAAGATTTGCAAAGCTACCGCTTCTTCGATCAGAATAATTTGCACAATGCATTTTGAATTTTAATTTCCCAAAATGTTTTGAATTTCAATCTTTACACATTTCTCTCTCTGGATTTTAAGACGTATTATCTCTCACTAAACCTTGCTTGGTTTTCTTAAAAATTTCACATTTAGTTAAAGAATAAAATCAAGCATTTAATTTTTATACATCGTTTGTTTAAAGGTAACCTTGACAATAATTTCTACATTCTTTCTTTACCAACCTTTTTACTACCCTTCTACCCGCTTAATTGAATTACCCCGTGTGGTAATCAAGGCTTGTAGTTGTATCTGACCATTTAAAATAAATTTATCTTGCAAAAATGTGCAGACCAATAAACTTATCAGAAATGTTATGAAAGGCAAATGGAAATAAATTTGACATTTTTATGATTTTCTAATTTTTTCTTTCTTCCTTTGGGTCTATCGGAGCCCATTATCAAAGAAATTGCACAACTCATCCGAGGGAGGAACAGTATGGCCGCCATAAGCCTCTTATATATTATAGACAGTTTTCATACTAAAACAATTATTTTTACCGATAGAATTATATTTTAAGAAAAAATGTCTGGATAGAAATTAGTTTGGTTTTTATGTAAAATATGCGTAAAGCCATTTTTTAAAAGTTTTTTTAATAAAGAATTTTTCATGGCACCCTTTTTCAATTAAAAACTCAAAGCGGTGGCTCGGTACTGTATGATAAATTTCAGAGGCTCATGGCGGCTTAGGTGTCCCTCCCTCCCTCCTTACAAGTCCTGAACTGCCAGGGGCAGGGCCAGAGTAGGGAAATACATACTTACAAGTTTATATCTTGGCCAAGCAGTTAAACAGCGCTTACATATTTATATAGAAGGAAAGGAGGAAAATGTGTCTGAGGGAAAAGGCTGTAAAAATACATCTCAGAATTTTAATTCGAAATAAGAAACAAAACAATTATATCTTTATAAACTTATTTCATTGGAGGGATTTTGTTTGTTGCAAATTTTCAAATGTTTTTGCAGATTCTATAAGTAGAACATAATAGCTTTCCAAGGATGTATCAATTGTCATATTTGTAATTCAAACATGGAATTTAGGTTTTAGGTTCAGATTTGCCCCCCCCCCCCCCCAAGCGTATCCTGGTTTTCAAGTACCCTAGCAGGGATAGAGTTAAATTGAATTATATTTTACTTTAAGCTTGGAACTGATGAATGGTTGAATGAGTTTAGCTAATACCCCCACAAGAAGATTTACTGATCTTTTGAACTTTGACATTTTAACATTTGAGAGATTGGTTTCCATACAAAATCTTGCCATTTTCTCATGAGATTATGATAAATAGTTAAACCTGTTTTATTCATTTTTTAAAAGTTTTCACCTTTGGTAATATTTCAGGGAAAGGTTCTAGTTCGACCAATAGCATTCCGACCTAGTCCTGGTAGACCAGGGTCCTCTGCAGGTCCCCAGGTCCCAGCCAGACCAGGGAGCAGTACTGGTCCCTCTCCTGGTCCCTTCATCAGTAGACCAAACAGTCAAGGGTTTGCCCCCGGTCATCCTCTGGTCAAGGATGGTCCAAGACCATTCGGAAGTAAGTAAAAACTAAGATTTTTTGGGGGCTAGAAATAGAAAATAAAAGTAGTGATACCCATGGTATTTGCTAAGTTTTCAAGAATTTTCTGGAAAAATTTCCGAGGTGCAATTTTCAAATTTGCATTAACTTATTTGCACAATGCATAGATAATCTAAAGTATTTACAGAAATACAGGGTTGTTCAAAACCAAAAACTTTTTTTTAATATTTTAAACAAATTGCCAAAACCTGGATCAGAAAACAATAGTTATTTTAAGTTTTATAAAAGGTCTCTTTCTTTGAAATAATTTTTTGTTTTTAAGAAAAAAACTTTAAAAAACTAAATTTTGGTAATTTCTTTATAAGATTTAGCACTTTTTTAGAGATTTGAATTTGAATACTACAAAACTGGATTCTAAGTTTATCTTATAAGACTAAATTGAATTCTATAAATTACATTCGATAAAGCTTTAGAAATTCAAGCAGCACAGGCCCAGGGACATTTAAAACAATAAAGGTAAAATGTTTATATAAAAAACAAACAAAAAAATAAAGATTCAAAACTGTAAAATGTGGTTTCAATAATTTTTCTAAGTGGTGTATATAAGGGTNATATTCATTTTTTATAAACAGATACATGCTTGTATATTTATCTTATTTAAGAAAATATACTTAATGGTATTTATGTACAGGGGGAGGAGACCCCCCAGTCTCTTAACAGAGAGGGGTGTGGGCTGGTAGAGACCCCCTTGAAATTTCACTTTCACTCAGAGAAAAACAAAAAATGGGCGGTCTTTTAAAGAATTTTAAATAATTATTAATTATTAACTAGACCTACCCTATAGATCTTTCTTGTGCTTTATTTATAAAAAAGAAATTTTATAGAATTTTTAAGGTTTAAATACAAATATTGCTTAAAGTTTAAATTTCAGTTGAGCCTTGGCATTAAGTATCATGCACTTGATCCCCTGTCGTTATCCTGGCAGAATGCTGCATGCTGCATGCTGCATACTGAACGTACATGAAACTATGTTTAAAAGATGATGTGTGTTTAACCTGACAAGAGACTGACAGGTGTGCGCGTGCTTACATTCATCAACCGCAGGGTGTCAGGTCAACTCAGGTCAAACATAACAAAAGAAACTTGAAAAAATGCGCAAAATTATTTTAAATGTCTAAAATTTAGAAATATATTTATAAAATTCTGGAATAGGAAGACGACTGTTAGACTCATATTATGACTTTTAATATTTAAATGAGCATGAAACAAAGCAATTTCACTTGATATGTAAACTAATACTGTTTGAAACATTGAATTGAATCTTTAAGAAATTAATATTTAATTAAAGTAAAATCAAGCTTTGAGATAGCTGTATCAACTTTCTGTGTTGCAAAAATATGGTTACCTATGATTTATTAAGTCCTGTTGGGGATGTAATAATAAATAATAATGAGAACGCAGAGTTAGGACACAATTTGAGGACACCCTTCGTTAATGGTCGTTAACAATCATTAACATATTTATCAATGTAAAAAAATTCAAAAACGGTAGTTTTTCAATAACGATAGTTTTTTTTTAACAATCGTTTAAAAACGATCACTAAACGTTTTTATAAAAACGATCGTTATTCATTTTCTAAAAGTTCAAAACTAGTGGGTTGTTTTTGAAAACGATCGTTTTTTTCCGAAAACGAAACGATCTTTTTTGAAAACGATCGGAAAACGAAACAAAAAACGATCGTTTAAAGAGTTATTCATTCAATATTTAAATATTTATACACCCTTCAAAATGTTTACTGAAGTAAAGCCAAAGGGAAACAAACGAAAACAAGGGGTCAAAGGGGTGTGTTTGGAGGGAGGCAGGAGGTTAGAATAATGACCCAGGGTGAAAATCATAAAACTAGGGTTACACAAGTTAAACAGTTAAACCTCCATGAATATCTAAGTTTAAAAATAATAAAACCCCTTTAGCTAATATTTACAAATATTGGGTCGTAATTATAAGGAACATTTTTATCTAAAGATAGCATTAATCGAATCACCAGACCTTAAATCTGAATTCATTTTTTTAAAAGTAAATGGCCACTATTACTGATTTCCAAAACCTTGTAATTACTATTCTTGCGAATTTTCTTAAAAGCTAATCGTGAAATTTGCATACCTAAACTTGGAAGTCAGAAATATTAAAGCATATTTGTATATTTATCTAACCAAATCCTTTCTGAAGGCTTTTCAGCTAAGCTTGTAAGCTAATCTGTATCTAAATCAAAAGTTTCGAACTCAAATATTCTTATTTGTCTAACTAGAAAGTGAAAATACTGAATAATATATATTGCTGTATTCAGACAGGAGGAAATGTAAGGCAAAGAAAATTGATCGAGCAGTGCCTCGGCAAATTCATGCAGTTTATGCAAATTCAGGGGGAACGTTTTTCAACCGGAGGAGGAGGGGGGTACAATAAGAAATTTGAAAGTTGTTTGTTAGAAATGTTTAGGTTAAAGGATCTTAAGACTTCAATATTTTTGTATGACCCCTAGCGTTTAAAGTTTAAAGGCCTGGGTTGTGGAAAGGATAAGAACGGATTGTAGAAGAAAAGAGATCAAAGGTTTACGAGTTTAAAGTTCTTCTTTTTATACATTCACTCTCTGCAATATATGCATCATTGTAATAATTTTTGTAAAAAAAAATTTGAAATAACTGAACTTAATATTCTGGAAGGAGTGAGCAACGAACATGTTCGCCTACAAAAGTTAGAAATGATATTTTTATAAAACCTTTTTTCTTGTTTTAGGTTCACAGGAGCTGAGTAGAAATCACCCACAGTCCCTGACCTCCTCATTACTTAGTAAATTTAGCTCTCTGGACCGCAGGAGTGTTCAGCAAAGGAGTTGCAGGGGCACTCTTCCCCAGGGGGGGAATAGGGTCCCTTCAGGGGCACAATCCTCACAACCTATACAAACTAACGGACTTAGGTAATTATTTTTCCAGATGTAAAGTACTCCATTAAACATTGAAGGAATTAATATGATGAATTTTCAATTTATGTTTTGGGATTTCAAAAATGTGTTATGCTAGTGTATTATACCTATAAACTTGACGTGGATGTTCAGAAATAAACCTAGGTTCAAGTTTACTTTATATATTTTATGGTTAAACTTTTTGAGGTTAATTGTATTTTTAAAAAAAGGTTTTTTTTTCCATATACATGTTTTCGGAATCACCCGTTTTTATGAGTAATTGCATTTTGCCAACATTTCTAAATTAAAATGTTTATTGAAATTTGACAATTTGGTCGGATAAGCATTTTTTCAACTTTTGCCCCTTGTTTTGTGAATGGGGGGAGAGGGAGGGGGGGATTAAATAAAAACAGCAATTATAGTCTCACTTTGATTTTAAAATTCATGAAGTTCAAATACATTAGNAAATATTAGGTACATGGTTACCCAGAAAGCATGAGACTATAGCGAATTAACACTGTTTCCTTATATTTTATTTTATTTATTTTTATTTATTTTATTTTATATTTATGATACCAGCAACTGTATACTTAGTTTTTTCTTTGAACAACTCACATAGATTCAGTCTGCTTATAAACAGTCTTATCAATTTTTAACACAGGGTTGACTTTGATGTGTCGCGACGCCCTAAGCTTAGATTTTACCGCTCTAACTCAATTATGTTTTTCTGTAGCCCTTTACATATACATTTTAGCACTGTAAAGCACTTGTTGTTAGCTTTAAATTTTTAGAAGTAATTGGCAAAATTCTCCACGATTTTTTCTTGAGAGTGTGAGACCATTAAATCACAGTGAACTATATAAAAAGACTGTAATACACAAGGCAAAAGATTTAATTTAATGTTTAAATCGTCATTTTTAAAGAGTTTCCGTTCGTCTTTACAGCCTTAATCTTTTTGGGTAACCAGGTATGTTAGCAAAGTTTATAAATAAATAAATAATGAATTAATATTGTAGTCAAGAGCCAAACAGGGGAGTGAAGGAACCTGAAAGACGACATTCTCTCTACGATTCAAATTCGAGGTTTTGTAATATTTTCTTTAAAAATGCAAATAAAGTATTTCTCGTTTAGACATTTTCTGCTTTAGATTAGTGGTAATATCTTCTAATTCATTGCAAAATTTTAGATATAATTACGCACAAAAGGTCATTTAGTCTTTTGTAAGCATTTTTTTTCTTCAATTCTTAAATTTTGTTATAATTTTTTTATTAATTTTTTGGGAGAGTGGTGCATTCTTTTCGAGAAAATAAAATAAAAGCATGGAGTTATACATCTCATTTTGATAATATTATATTTTTATTATAATGATTTTGAATAGGCCAATACAAAATTTTCTTTCTAATAACATATTCTATGGGTTCATGTTTCTCACTGAACCATATTGGAAAAGAACAAAGCTGTTAAATCTATAAACATCATGGTTGTAACCCATTATTTAAATTTTTTATTTTTTCTCTAATTTTAGAGGACAATATCCGACCCGCGGGACCTCAACCCCCTCCACCCCAGCCTCGATAAACGTAAACGGCCTCCCTGACCCCAACCTAGTCCAGGGATCCTCCACCTGGGCTCCAGGAACCCTAAATGGTTCCAGAACCTCCCTGGATCCTAGATCTAGCGTGGAACCCAGGAACATGGAACCAAGAACCAGGCACTCTGGAGCTGGAACCCCACAGTTCAGGAACCTGGCAGGGTTACAGTTCCAGACAAATAGTTCCAGGTCGTCATTATCCAACCTTACCTCACAGGTTAGATCTTAATTCAATCTAGTGGTTTCTTTAAGTGGAACCAAAAAATCAGTTTTCTTCATGAAATATCGCTTATGAGATATAAGCGTGTAATTGCAACTATTTCCAAATAATTGATTTAGTGGAAAGAAAAAAGTAATCATTTTCAGTGCAAATGATTTTAAGGCACATTTAATTGACAATTTATAATTAACAGAAAACAACCAGAATTTCACTGTTTTTCAATCTCGCGGTGCATATACTATGTAAAGACTGAATTAGAAATAAGGTTGAGCAAGCAAAAGTAAATATATGTTTCTTTTGTTTGGCGTCAAATAAATTTCAAAGATATATTTTTCAAATAAAAAAAAATAATTTTTAGATTGTTTACAGTCTGCAGCGGAGTACGAGTGGAAATAATATTAACGAAACTCAGGTAGAAAATAAAATAAAGGGATTGAGCCCGGATTTTGGGGTTTATAATTTTTCGTAAATTTTAATTAAAGAAATCGAAAAACGAAAATAGAATGTAAAAAAACCACATAAAATAATATTTCAACATAAAATAATATTTCTTAACACAAATATTGGTATCTATCAAACTGCCTAAGCCCAAAACTTAAGACAGGATATCGTTATGAAAACCAGTTTTGGAACCCGAGTTTCACCAATGGAGTTAAGCAGTTTCGAGGATTTCAATATTTTTGATATGAAATATGGATTTATTTAGTTTCTTCATTTTCTCCATTTTTTAATCTCTTTAAGGGAGTTTTCGCGAAAAATGAAAGGGGGTAAAGGCTTAATGCGAAAAATAAGCGCTTTTGATCGCTACTAATCTTACTTCTATCTGTTGCGTCTATAAGGAGAAAATTGTTAAAACGACTCACATCGAAGAACGCAGCGTCCATACAAATTTGGAAAGATGCAACATTCAACTCGGATCGTAAAATAATCAATTTTATTCCAAACAAATCATTCAGATAATAAAAACAGTAGTCATCGATTATTTTTCAACGCACTCGTTTCTTTTTGAAATTTTTTTTATTTCAATTTTCTTCGTAGTTCGTACATTTTCTTAAAGTAAAAAATGCGAAAAACAATTTGCTCATATTGAAAATTTTGTCATGACTTGAAAAAGGTGACTTTACTTTAGAAACAATTGACTAAATTGTGAGAATCACACTTTTTTATATAATATAAAAAAAATTTTATCTAAAGATTAAGGATAATTATATGGTGCCGTTGTGAATGCTTCTTTTTTAAACATAAAGTCTCTGGAAATTTCAACGCCAGTCTATAGATAAAAATTTTTTTCTTAAATTTTTATATTTTTTGTTAGAATTCTCTTCATCACCATATAGACTCTCCATTCAAGGGTTCAACATCAACTATAGACCAAGGAAACAGATATGCTAAAGTTCAGCTTTATTCATAATAACATTTTTTTAAATTATTTGTCAATTAATGCATTTTTCTTTTGCTTATTTAGTTTTCGATATTTTTATTATTTTTGAATATAATCATTTTTATATATGATCATCCTGGTATGCTTTTTTTAACATAAATTAATTCAGTTTTTAATTGATCGTCTTTTTATGCATTTTTATCATTTCTGACAATTTTTCTTTTTAATGAGTTTTCAATTTACTGAGATTTTTAACTTCAAATCATTCATTTTCTTTTTGATCATACATTTATGCATTCTTTTAGAATTTATGAGAAAATTTTTTTTTTAATGTAAATATTTTCCACAAAGGAGAATTTATTTACGACATATAACTTTTTAGATTGAGCTAATAACAAGTTAGATTTAATTTTATTATTCGTTTTTTCGTTCTTGTAAGTTCACATAGTTTTCTTGATTTATGCTATTTCATTTCCCTACACGGTTACGGACACAAAGGATAAGCCTGTAACGAAGATCTGAAACTATTTAAATATGACGTTTTCATTTTGTCAAGGTTAAGTATGCTGCCATGAAGTTAGTATTGTTATGACCTATTTAATGATTTGACATCAAAAAAACATGTTTCCAGTTGAAGGAATCATGCCTGTAAAGAAGCGGACAGTCGTCCCTGAATTATCATCCTTTGTGGGTAACCCTGTATATCTAAGTAATAAATAATGGGTTTAACGGCTTTTTTAAATATACAAAAAGTGAACTCTGTTTCCCTAGACTATAATTCTACCCCATCTCCGTCTGACAGTGCTGTGGGTGACCTAGAGACGGTTCTGAAGGAGAAGGATAACGAGATTGTGTTTCTCAGGTAATATAAGTCAACTGTCACCCTGAACTAGACAGAAGAAGAAGGTTAAACAAATCCTTGCGACATTTACAATTTAGCTTCTCTAGTTTTGATTTTACGAGAAAATTAAGTTAATCTGAAACTTTTGAATGGTGGATATTGGGATTAATGCTTGATCCACTCTTTTTATTAATCTTAAGATTAAATAATGCTTGTTTTCCTCTTGTTACGATCGGGATTAAGAATATCCCATTCAATAGTTTTCAGCTCTGGTTATATATCACTAGAAATTTAGAACGTTCTTGTTACGTGCGATTTACTTTAGCTTGAAGTGCTGCAATAAGCCTGATCCTCTGACCCTAAGAATTATAATGTAAAGATAGTTATTTCAGAGGTGTACGCATCTATTCTGAAGGAGAAGGATAACGAGATTGTGTTTCTCAGGTAATATAAGTCAACTGTCACCCTGAACTAGACAGAAGAAGAAGGTTAAACAAATTTACATTAGCTTGAAGTGCTGCAATAAGCCTGATCCTCTGACCCACAGAATTATAATGTAAATATAGTTATTTCAGAGGTGTACGCATCTTTTGTACTGCAGTGTACTGTCTCTGGGCGGTAAAGTAAACACAAGACGGATGTCACAGCCTGACATGGGATGTATATTTCACATAAAAATCAATGAAATATTCTGCAAACAATTATGTAAAATATCAAAGCTTTTAAGATGAAATGCTTTTATCCTCCTCGGATGCTAGAGTAAATAATACTGATGCATTTATTCTTGTTTACAAACACCGCCCAGAGAGAACTGGCTTCAATATATACGCAGAGAATACGCAACAGAAATTTACTTTTCTTACCTTATTACCTTGTCTCTGACCTCGATCCTTGCCCAAATGAATACGATTCATTTTCTAATTGATTATTCATTAATGTATCTTTTTTAATGTTTGACCATTTTTTTTCCTTTTATTGAGTTTTTATATTTCTAATGTTAGCATTTGTTAATTTTTTTTGCAGAATTTGTTCAAAAATAAAATTGCGTGAAATTTGTAAACCAGCAAATTCAGATATGCTAAAACACTTGCTAAATTTTCACAATCTTTGAATCTAGGTGTATACTGTAAAGTTGAGAAAAAAATGAAAACATGAAAAGATTTCAGAGTCTCAGACAAGTTCTTTCAAAGTTTTTTTTAAATGTGCATGGTAGTGTAAAAAAAAATATTTAAATTTAGATTTTAAATTTTTTAAGTATTTAAAAATTGTAATACCATTTTTAATCACTGTAAGTTTGTTATCGATTTATCGTAAAACCAAACATTAAAAGATATTTTTTTGGCGAATGCTAATAATTATAAAATTAAAACTTGATAAGTTTTACAATATAAAAACTAATAAATCTAATTGTACAGGGAAACTATGGAACAAAACGAACAAGTGATATTTAAGGTAAATAAAAGAATAAATAATGATGACCCTTTCCCCGATATAATAAACCCTATCCTAGTTTAACAAATAATTTAAGCTTTGAGATTTTGCCGCAAGTAGAAATGAAGAAACAATGGCTATAATTTATACATGAACCAAAAATACAAAAAAATAAAAGTAGTTTTTAAAGATTGAATCAGGGAAGGTTACACGGATTTGTCCCAAGGGCCCGAGGGGGGGGGGGGCATAAACTTGCTTGACTTTCCAGATGCAAAATCCATTTTGAAATTTTCCAAAGAAATGGGGAGGATATAATGTCGTAATCCCCCTCCCCACCTACCCCACCCTTGGTAATATATATATATATATATATACATATTTATAAATACTTGGGACATAAAATGTCGTCATCCAACTAAGAGTTTGGCCCACTTTAGTATTTAATCACTTTGACCCTTGGTATTAAATACTCCTAACTAAAAAGCCCATGATTAGCGGTTTGCATGTTTAGATTCCTAAATTGGATGCCCAAATTCAAATTAATTAAAATTCAATTAAATAACTAATTAAATCCACAAACCTGTCTTATCTAATTAATTCTTACATTTTATAAAGTCAAGACGTGGCTCTAGTTTGATCTAAAGAACCATACAAAAAAAAGAGTGCAGTATTTGAGTTTTAAATTAAAATTCAGTTAACAGGAGCTGTCACAGTTATTTCAATTAAATTAAATTAATGTCAAAGCAAACACTTTATCCTAAAATGTTATCTTTTTTAAAAAGATAGCATTTTGGTATTGTAGACTCGTCTTATTAGGTGTATGAAGAAAAAGAACGTGTTTGGGAACGTGAAATACGGAAAATAAAGGCTCTGTATGACAGCAGGTATTTTCATAAATGGTTTTTAGAAATAAAAAAAAATTATTATTAAGTCAAAGTAAAGGGGGGGGGGGTTCTTTTAGTCTTGGGAACTCTTGTATTGATGCTTGATCTCCAACTTTTGTTAATCTACAGATTAATTTAATCTTTATTTGATTCGGAATTGAAGGGAACTTCAGTCAGGGAAGAAATAACTGAAATGAAGAAATTAACTATTAATCCTTAAATTAAAAGTGTCCACAGTGGATATCGAGATATAAAGATCGGGATACTGAGCATTCAACAAAAAATTACCCATCTCAGATAAAATTTAACATATTTTGAATCAAAAATACGGAATGCAGAAGTAATATTGTTTGTCTAGGTTTGTTTACTCTTCTCCGCTTCGTGACTTTGCATTTAAGTACAACAAACTAATGGCCTTTCTCTTTAGATATTTGTCTGTACTTTGAGCCTATATTCCAATTAATGTGCAGTGAAAAACAGAAAACTCTAAAATATGAAGACTTTCAGACTAAAGATATGACTTTATATGGTCCAATAAGAATGGTACACAGAAATTGTACAGTTTAAACAGCCTCACTTCGCTATAAGTGGGTTAATAAGTGCCTATTAAAATTGTTTGCTTTGTAACAACATCAAATATACCTAAGTATTGCTATAAAGTCGTCTTCGAATTTCAGAGTTTTCTGCTTATCACTGTATGTAAGAGAGTAATTTTATTTGCTGGACTTAATTAAGAGACAGTATGCGTAATTTAAAGTTACCCTCAGTGCAAAGACGACAATGCCCAATTCACAACAAATGCGGAAAAAGTTGTTTTGTCGAGAAACTTTAACTGAAAAAATTTGTTTTTAAAATTATTTTGATCGGACAAAGTTTTTAAAGGTACCGTTGTGAATTGGGCATTATCATCATCATCATTATGCAAGAAGGTTTCCTTTAAGTTGTGCTCACAGTCTCTTTGCAGAATTAATTGACGTGATTTTCCGTTCACCACGTGTTTGAAGAGTTGCGAGCTTGATTTACAAAGCAACCCTTTAAATCTTTGTCTAGCTGAGTAATAATTAGGGAATATATTAATATTTTCTAAATGAAAATTAGATTATTTTATAAATATCTTTCTTTTTCTTAGCTACATAATTCCCTACTTAACTTTCATAAAAGATTATTTGTCAATTTAAAAAACTTGAATATCTTCATCTTTAGTTGCACAACATTGTAGGATTTTTCTTCGAATTTTTAAATAGTTTTACACAACCTAATCGGATTCTTTAACTAGGCTCAAAATGAGGCTCGGAGGCTGGAGCAGGAGCTGGAGGCTGTAAACGAGGCCAGGGCAAACCAGATTAACGAGACAAGAAAACTTGAGGCCGAACTCTCTTCTTTAAAGTATTTTTTTACGAGCCTAAAAATCTTATACTTTGAACTTCAACATTTATATTATGTAAAAACCTGATTTAACATAATGAAAGCAAACTTATGGCACTAAACTAATTATCTTTTTCCCACCCCATCCCCCCAAAAAATTAAATAATCTTAAATGACATTAAACGAACCAATTATTGTGTCCAACTTAAAAGGTGACCACTGACCAGCCAATGAAAGGGGATTGTAATGTGCAAGATGTTTGGCTATTTGGGAATAGTTCCCAGGAAATTCCCAGAAATTGATTCTGAAGAACTTTTCTCTGGAAATTCCCGAGAATTTCCCCAAATATGGTCGACATTTTCTACGGTTATACTCTAGAATTGGTAAGGATTATGAGAAATTCCTCGGAATGGGTTAAAAGAAATTCCTCAGAATTGGTTACAAGAAATTTCTTGGATTGGGTTACGGTAAACAAACGAAATTTTTCGTGAATAATGGTGTCGTTCAAGAAAAAAACGAACGATGGACAAACAACATAGCTCTTTCAGGGAAATGAAAAAACGATTGTTTATTAAATACGAAAGAAAAAAATAATAACGATTTAAAATCGTTCAAACGAACTTGAAAAACGACCTCTTTTATTGAACTAACAAACGAGTCTATTAACACCTCTCCTGTGTTCTAGAAAGAGCCTAGAGGAGATGGAATGGACAACCTTTGATAAATCTCAAGATTCATCAAGTCAGGGATCACAGATTTCAAGTTTTAAACCTAGAACTGGAAACCAGGTCAGAACTTGAATTCAAAGTAACACCAGTTTCCTATACTTATGCAGGCTGAGCCCTCTTCTTTGCAAGAAAATTTAGGGAAATCAATGAAAAACTTTCGGAAGAATGAAACATGAAAGAAACAACTAGAGGCCTGCATAAAATTGATGATAAGAGTTTACTTCTAATTTCTCATCTGTTTCTGCGTGAACAACATATTGGAAAAATATTTTTTACGTTTTGAGTCCAAAGATGAGATTTTAAAAGCTTAAACCCGAGTAAAACTCGGTCTTTGCGTCTGCTTAGACCCCTGTAAAGATCAAGTCAAAACCCGGGTTTTCGAATGCTTTGAGTTTAGTAAAAACCAACCATCTTGGGGTTTTCTCTCTTTAAGGCTCCAGTCTTCAGGAGCTGCTGATCGTGAATTTCGTAAAATCTTTAATATTTGTACATTTAAAATCTTGGGAATTATTTGTGGTGTCAAAAAAAGATCTTTTAGAGCATTTACTAACCATCCTCGTTTCAATGTGTTGCTACCTAATAAGTAACGAATCAAAAACTAGGATTTAAAAAATGTAATAAAAATGTGTTTAGGATTCTGCTAGTCTCATCCTCGAAGTCTCCGAGGTTAAACGTCTCCTTGAGGCCAGAAATACGCAGGTCCTAGATTTTCCTGTCACGAAAAAAAAACTAAGAAAATCCTAAATTTATGAAATGGTTTAGGATAACTTCTGTACACCTATGCACAAAAACCCACAAGTTTTATCTTTTAGCTTAATATTTTATCAGAAAAATAAATTTAACAAATTAGCAAAAGAATTTTTTTCTTCAGGTTTCGGAGCTAAAATCTGCCAACAAATCTCTCACATCAGATATAATCAACTTAAAGGTATTCTAATTTCTTGTATGGAAAATTATTAGTTTATATTCACGATATTGTACCTGTACCTGTACCTGTACCTATTCTAGAATCTGCTGGATCTGGAAGGTGAAGGCTGTACATTACAAGAAATATCACAACAGAAAGAGATTATTATTGAGAGGGATAAAACTATTGAAAAAATCCAGGTAAGTAAACTTTATAAACGGGGTTACCCACAAAGAATGAGCCTGTAAAGACGATCCCAAAATTAAATTATGTATTCTGCCTTAATTATAGTTATCTATGGCTTATTTCAGGAAAAAACAAGTTTACAGTTTCAGGGAATCATGAATATAAGAAATCAAACAGTTAAATTCCGTACACTCGTCTCTGAAGTGTCATCCTTTGTGGATATTTCTGTATTTCTACATCTGTATATATTATAAACATAGAGAATAGAATATATAATATAGAGGGGAATTTTTGTTGTACTGTTTCTATACTGCAGATGTACTTCACATATTTATGCAATATAACCTTTTGGGCCCTGGAATATCATTTTTATAGAAAATCTAAAATTAATATTAAAAGAAAACCAAATTACGAAATAGGCTGGTTTCCAAATGGACCAATGATCATTTCACATAGACTCTATGCCTTTCACATTACAAACGATGTTTTTCCGTTATAACTATAAATCAAATGATGGTTTTTATTCACCTAATTCATTATAAAGTTTATTTAACAGCTTTAAAAAATTCGAAATTAAAATGAATAGTTTAGGGAACATACTGTATTAATGTACTCTACTGCATATAATTTTTGAACATTTACATGATTTGTACACTTTGAACTCCATTTCAGGCTGAAAGGGACTGAAAAAATTCATACCGAGAGATTCTTTAAATTCCCCTCTAATATATATTCTTTTCTCTATGATTATAAAGTATTGATCTCTATTTGTCTGGTTGTTTTGTTTGGATTGGACATATTTCAATTCATAACTTTTGAACGTCTTGCCACAAATTTTGATTGGGGAACCCATTAAACTCTCCATTTATAGATTCGTATTTCCGATTCACAACGGTACCCTTAAAACATTGAACTTAGTAGTAATCGTTGTTTTCTTGAAAAGTGATTCATTTTGAAAATGTCTCTTATAGTCTGCTGCATGAATCCGCAAGTCACTGTCACAGACAAAGAAACCACAATGAAAAATAATGCGTTTCCTAAATAGAAAAACTAGGATAGCTCATTCGTTCATGACCAGACAAATATTTAAAAAAGTACCGTTTTAAATCCGATATACCACACTTCAAATAAAAGAACACCTAAACCTTCTTTTTACAATTAAAATGTCAATTCTTATCTGTTTATAGAACCGGTTGCGTGAGTGTGAGAAGGAGAAAGGAGAACTGAGAACAGAGCTGGACTTGTTCAAGGAGAACTTCGAGGTGGAGAAGGTTAACTGGTTGGACGAGAAAGAGAAGGTTATCAGGTAGGATAATATGCCAGAGACCAATATCAAGGGTGACCCACGAAACATCAAATGTTAAGTTTTGAAGATTCTTGAATTAACGATCACAAAATAGCATCAACGAACTGTGTTTACCTTTCTTGTAATTTTGAAAGCTTAGAAAAGGGCAGACCACATTTTGAAAATGTTGACAAGGGAAATTTTGAGATTGTTATTTCCAGGGTCATTCGCGTAGCAGCAGGTAGACAACTAATTCCCGCCAATTATTTCTAAAACCAAAGACGATCTTTAAACCATTTAAGTGTCATGTATATTTCATTTATTTAATACTTATTTAACTAATAAATTTACTGTACTAGAGCTAAAATCATTTATTTTGAATAGTCCCTTGATCCCAATATTCATGTGTCAAAAATATATTTATTTTATTGTTTCTTTTTGTTCAGATATCAGAAACAACTGCAGTTGAACTATGTGCAGATGTATAAGAAGAATAAGAGTCTTGAATCCGAGGTACATTATATATAAGGAAATGTGGACACATAAGACACTGCAAGTGTTTATTAGATAATGGCATCAAAAGGATAACATGTGGTCATCTAGGGATTTAATGTGGTCACTAGGGATATAATATGGTCACTAGGGATATATGATGCATGTGGACCCTAAGTGGTTAAATTCAGTCATCATGGTTGAAATGTGGTCACTAGTTATATTATGTGATCACTAGGAATTAGGATGTAGTTATAAATAGGGATATAATATGGTTTTTAGGGATATAACATAATATTTATGGATATTATGGTTAAATATGGTCACTAAGTTATTAAATATATTACGTGTATATTCCAGGTTGACCAGCTGAAGAAAGCACTGGCAGAGACAAGCAGCAACAAGACTTCATCATCCACCAGGAACAGTTTCTTTATTAATTTCTAATGCATTTATTCATTCATTTTTTTGAAGAAAAAAAATTATTTAGACATTTTTTCGTCCCACCATACTTCACTTATTAAAAAAAAATTCTCATATTTTTTTTTCTATCCTGTGCTTTTTTTTAACATTTTATAAAAAAATTGGAATTGAAAATACATATTTAATTTTTTTAAAAAACCAAATTTTGCCGACTTCCTTTTTAACCCTATTCAGGCTGACGTCTGCTTTACCAAAAATAGTCTGGATGGAGGTAAAATAAGGGATTCCGGCAATAGGCATAAAAGCCTCGCTTTAAGCCTAAAGTAAGGGACATGTTAAGTTAAAAAAATGTTAACAATTCTTTATGAGTTCGCTTCAAAAAACTCCGGGGGGTGGGGGGAGTCCCAGCCCCCCCCCCAGCCGGAATAGGGTTAAGATTGAACAAAGTTCAAGTTTAATTTCCAAAGATATACAAAAAATAATTTATCCAAGTCCAAGAATGGTTAATATATTGTGTCCCGCATACAAGTGGTTCCGTTCTTTTTCTATAATATATACAGTTACTATTTTTAATATTTAGTTTTCTTGTGGTTAAAATGAAGTTGTTGGCGCAGCCTTCTTCTTAATCTTTCTTAATACAATTTCCCGTTTTTGTAAATTGAAACTGTTTTCTGTAGATCGAGACTGTTCAGTAAATTCAGCAAGTTTCATGAATCCCAAGGAATTCATTGATTAGAGTTTGTAGTTCGGAGGTCACTTTAGACTTTAGAGGCTGGATTACACAATATTTAGTGGTGTACAATATGCTAAAAACTTCCTCAAATTCCATAAAAATTTGGAAAAGAAAGACGACTTTTAGACTCAAGTTATGACTTCAAATAATCCTATGATTAGATTCCTAAACATATCAACTACATATAAGATTGTTAATTAATGTCGTCCTCATATTGCACAATTTTATAGGTTCCCAATGTAAAGTTTTAAATAGTTTTGTTGGACGTAATTATTATCAACATTTTTAATCAATGGTGCTTTAATGTAATAAAGAAGATAGACACGGGCACAATACCTTTTTATACATTTCAAATATTTTGTTTTTGAACCGAACTGAAGGCTACAGTGAGAACCTAAAACTGAAAAATAAAACGATAAAAATAAAGTAATACTTTAACGTATGTCATGCTGATACAAAACAAATGGTTTTACACTTAACTTATTAAATTGCTGTGTCTAATGTTTATTGGATTAAAGTCATAACTTACGTCTGAAAGTCGTCTTTTTGTTTCTTAGTTTTCTGGTTCTCACTGTAGGTTATTAACTTGTATCTAACTTTGAAACATGTAAGCTAATATTCGGCTTTATAAGAAGATGTTTTAAAAATGTATTGAAAAATATTTAAAAATATCCAATTTTTTTAACTATAATCTCATCTAAACGTAATTTGCCCGCAAACATTTTCCCGAGAACCATCGTTTTTTACATTAAATTAACTTTTAGCATTTTGAATAAGATGAGCAAACTCGTTATTTTATGTTTTTGGAAGCCATTCGTTCAAAACAAATTAAATATTTTTGACCTCAGCATTGGCTTTGAAATATTTGACAAAAAACTCTGGGAAAAACTTAAAACAATAAAAAATTACGTTTAGCACAAACACTCATTTTGTGTATATATATTTGTTTTGGATAGTCATATATTTCCTCTAATTGGTACTATAAGATCGATTCTCTAATAGTCTACAAATTTGTGATAATTTTTTTTCTAGAAAGGTGTGTTAGTCTAAAAATTTTCTGAAGTGAAACGTTCTCTAATTATGTCATTTTAACAAAGGAATCTTGTTTTTCTTTTCGAACTTCACTTGAGTTCCAAAAACTTTAAAAATTTCAAGAGGGTTAAAATAAAGTTAAACAATTGTTCAATCATGTGCCATTAATACACTCAAATAGATACAGATGTTGATGTTAACGTGCTCCTAATACTTAAGGCAACTGTAAGCGTGATCTTCTTTGTATATAAAAAGAAATGTCCAATTTACAATTAAGAGAACTTTCAGTCTTTGTCTGCTGATCAAGAATGCATTAGAAATTCGTGATATTTCTATTTCTATTTATTCTCAATTGTGAAGTCACTTGCGGATTTCTTGCTTCTGAAACATTGTAGAAATTCGAAATCCTGAAAAGTAGATGAATTGTGTTTTAATGTAATTGTATTGCTATATATGTTCTTTGAATAAAGTTGTCAAATATTTGTGTTTAAATTTAAGATACACATTGTAAACTAAGGGAAGATAATGTCGTCTATTTTCTTCCTTTTCATTAATTAAATATTGCAAGGAAATTTTGATTTGCAATCAGGGTTGCAAACGGAAGGTAAAATAAGCGAAATTTTTGTTCCGCCGCAATTTACGCATTCCAATCGCAACTGATAAAAGACGAGCAAATTTCCACATTTTGCACGGAATTTCCTGTTGAACTAAATATTTGGTATTGTGGACAAATTTTTAGGGTTCATTTGAGACATACAAAACGTTTCAACGACGTAAATTTACTAGGTTGGAGCGCAAAGTCGACGTTTGAATCATAAATTTGGGTGGGTACGATTTCAGAATCGGTTTTTTCTAAATTATGAAATAACGGCGACAAAAAATGTTGAGGTTGAGAAAATAAAATTTAACGCTCGAAAATAAGTAATCTTATTTAATTATTAGGTTCTCTAATATCTCAAAATTAATAAAAATTTCTGGAATTTTTATTGAAAAGACGACATTCGAATAAATTGTAGAAATCTGCTAACAAATTCATAGAAAATAAGAAATCAAATATGATGATAAAAACGAAATACTTGATTCTAACATTGATTTATTGACAAATTTCTTTTGAGAAATACAGGGTGTCCCAATAAACATGGGAATTCAGTGACAAATTTAATATCGTCTTTTTAACTAATTCTTTGATTTAGTAAAGTGATACCTACTGAGAAAGCTGTAATCTGTAAGAGCTTTGTCTGCTATGTTCACATTTTGTTTGTTTATGTTTTGACTGCATATGGTTGTACTTAGTAAAACAAGAAAGTTACAGTATACAAATAGAGTAAACTTGTCGGTCTTCACTGTTCATCTTGCGGAGACATTATAGACACATATTTACAGTCTTTTACCCTTTTTATAAAATAAACTTTAGCAGACATAATAATATTATGGCTTTTGAAATTAGGTATTACAATGCTAATTCATAACAAAGACGATATCGGATTCGTTACTGAATTCCCATGTTTTTTGGGACACCCTGTATGTTCCTAAACATCTATTCAGTTTACTATAGAATTTTTACTGTATTTTTCATCGTCGTTATTTAATAATTAAAAAACGAATCTGAAACGTACCCACCCAAATTCATGATTTTAAACGTCGACTTTGCACTCAAACTCAGTAATTATACATTGTGGAAACGTTGTACATGTCTCAAATCAATCCTATAAATTTTGTTCTACAACACTGCATACTCAGTTCAACCACCATACATTGCAGGTCTCCCTTTAATGGAAGGCTTTATCTTATTTTATTGCTAAATTTAAACCGGTGTCCTGGGTTGAGACTGCAGAGAGTCTATCCCTATGTATTTAACCATTTCAACGCAATGTTAGACATTAAAAGCAATGATTTAAAATTGTTAGTTTACATAAATAAATGCACATTTAGTTCTAAAATGTATTATTTAAGAAATTAAGGGGGAAAACGCAAACAAAAGTTATTGAACAACCATTACTTCCTTGAAACATATAGACAATTTCTTATGTGAATAACCTTTCATATTAGTGTCATAATTAATGAAAGTCTCAACACATTGCTTTAGATGTCTAAATTTGTGTGAACACTGGGGAAGGCTCCTCACACATGACACCGTCAAATGGCTTTTGTTGAAACAATATGAAGCTTAATAGCTAAAAGAGTAGTTGTTGAAGCTAAACCAACAATACTTCTCACCATTCAAAAGTTTCAATCTCATATCTCACCAATCATAAATTTCCATCTCAACCCAATCTGGTTAAAAAGTTGTCAACTGCAGAAATATCTATTATTATGCATATATAAAGTGTTAACAAGTTTTGAAGTAAAAAAATGATTACACAAAATTTGAAAAAAAAAATTATTTATCTAATTATTTTTCTCGACGGGCTCCTCTGTGTTCTGCTGTGGGGTAAGCTGATGACGGTAGCGAGGTTTTATTTTCTTTTCTAAAAAAAAAGGTTTTTCGATGTTCATTAGACAATAATCCTTTTAATATCCGGCATTTTGTAAACAAATCCGTGCAGAAAGAATACCACGTAAATTAGATTCTTAAAAAAGGGAATATTCTCTAACAAAGAAAAGAAGTAAAATCCGACTTTCTCCCATAAGTAAATAAAAAATTATAAGTTTAATTGAAAAGTTATAAGTCACGTAAGTTTACTTTGGCGATTTTTTTTTTTTGAATGAAAGCTATTTCCGGATTGAAATAAACCTACACTTTTATTAATTGTAAATACTCCCGTTTAAAAAGATATTTAAAAGCAAGGAAGGAAGAAGAAGTTATAAAAGGGTTTAAGAAATCTTGTTGTTATAACTGGTGGACAACCGTCGTCCCCGACCAATTGAAGTGACAATTTGAAATCGAACATTTATAGATGATAAACAACAACTTTGTTTCACATGATCTTAGTATATTTTACGATCGTTGAAATCATGGAAAATCTATTTGTTTTCCTTGAATAATTGATGGATTGACAAAACAAATATTAGCTAAAAATGTTCAATCTCACGAAGCACCTTATAAAATATTTCGACAAATTATTTGTTTAAAAATATTGTTTGTTCCGTTTTACATCTACGAATTTCCGAAACTTTAATCGTAAATAATGTTTGATACATGATGATAAAACGTTTTCGTTTGCACCATTAAACAGGAGATTTTGAGGAGATATTCATAACTCTTATAATATGACATACTCTAAATTTAATAAAAGGCATTTATAAAATAAATCCTTTTACATCCATCTCTTAATTCTCATCCTTTGCTTGTAACCCTGTAGAAACCAGAAGATGTTAGGTACTTTCCCAAAGGCCTTTTCCCAAGCTGCAACTTCCCAAGGGTATTTTCCCAGGTGGCAACTTCCCAAATGAGCAATTTCCCAAGTGGCAACTTTCCAAATGTACAATTTCCTAAGTAACAATTTCTTTAAAAATTTACTTTATTTTCTTTAAAACAAGTAATAGCCGCAGCGCTCGGCCTCCATTGTAGCCTGAGGCCCCTCAGACACCTAACCTAACCTTAAATATTGACTATATTTTCTTAAATAATGCACTATATTTGCTCGGCCCCCTTGCCAATCCTAGCCTCAGAAGTCTTAACCTAATCGTAAGTAATAATAAGGATCATTTAATACATTTTTACCCTTTAAAGAAAGGGTGCAGGCCGCCAACATGTTCTTGCCATTACTAACAGAGAGAAACTGAAGAATTTTTTTTAATTTGCGTATTTTCTAAAAAAAAAGTTGAGAAATTCTATTAAAAATGTAAAACTTAAATGTTTATTAAATACTTCTTCATGGGGAATGTGCCGTTTTTCCTTCATGGGGAAGTTTCCACTTGGGAAATTGTCATTTTGGAAATTGCACATTTGGGAAGTTGCCTCTCGGGAAATTGCCACTTGGGAAGTTGCCCTTGGGAAAATGCCTTTGGGAAAGTACCTAACCAGAATACAAAGATTATTTACCTGATTTTATCTGTTAAAACCAGAATACATACTTAAGTTACCTGTTTTTACCAGTTTGAACCAGAATACATAGATTGTTTACCTGTTTTTACCAGTTTGAACCAGAATACATAGATTGTTTACCTGTTTTTACCAGTTTAAACCAGAATACATAGATTGTTTACCTGTTTTTACCAGTTTGAACCAGAATACATAGATTACCGTGTTACAGATCAATATGAACAAAACCTGAAAAATGTGAAAAAAATCTGTAAATCCGATCAATTATCAATTATCATACAATTGAAATAAACCAACTACAAGACGACATTTTGAGGTTTCTGTTTTACGTAAAAAAAAACTCTTTGTCCTGATTTGAACATCAAGCATATCTGATATTTCATCGGCTTTTATTGATTTGTTCTTGTGATGTAATTGTTTTATTGAATGAACAGGACTGTCACGCCAAACTTTATGATGAGTTTGTCTGATTTGTATATGATTTATATGTACAGTGTGTCCCAAAAGTAATGCCACTTTAATATTTTTATAAAATATTAAAATAGAAAAAAAAATTTACCCAGAACTTCGGAGTCATCGGAAGAATTTATAAAATATCATATAGACCATTTTTCAATGTATTTTATACTATTATACCTAAATTTTAGTGATTGTAAAATAGATAAATAGCCATGAAATATGCAGGAGCAGTTTTAAAGAGCTCAATATCATTGTTTAATAAAAAGTCTAAATATCTGCAGCAGTCCATTTAATAATAAGGTTAATAAAACGACGTTTTACAAATTCTTTCAATGTCTCCGAACGGTCAGTATCCAACCGTTCATGCAAATTCAGTACTGACTCCTCTTTTAATTGTCATTTTTTTGGACACATTATATAACCTGGACAATAACATTGTATAACCTGGACAATAACATTGTATAACCTGGACAATAACATTGTATAACCTGGACAATAACATTAACATGTGTTGAGAGGAAACAGACCAGTATTGCATACTTCATCTGAGTGATTAGCAGCTGTCTAGAAATATATTTTTAGTTTTATATTCTCCACAAGATGGAGCAGATAACTCAAAACTATCTAAGATAAATACTCAAACTTCTTGACTTTTCCAACCTCATGACTAAAGACAATTTTATGGGTCTAGTATCTGATCTAAAATTTTCTTTTTTGAAATGTTAATATTTTTGGCAACAAAATATTTTTAAATATTTTTCCATCGTACTTTAAAAAGTTAAATAATCATGAAACACAGCAATTGTTTTGTGTAAACAGACCCATTTCACAAAAAAGTTAATTTTATAAGCGTCTGGTAAAACTATTTGCTTTGTAACACCATCAAATACACTTCAGTATTGTTACAATGTCGTCTTCATATTCCATTGTTTTCCGGTTATCACTGTAGAAGAAACATTTTCCAATCAATTCCCCCAAAAAAATAGTGTCACAGTTTTTTTGTCGTTAATTGTATTTTCCTTTGATTTAGCATAAA